AAAGCAGCAAACGTCGAAGGGCCAAATGTTACGGCTACAAGCGATGACAATATGAAGTTATGGAGGTATGTGGCTGAAAACGAGGATCTGTTGTCATCTGGGACAGATGACGAGAATCAGGAGGGCCGAATGTAAGCAGGCAAGTTACAGGCGATCAGGCGACACACCAAAAGCGACAAAGCTACGAAGCGGAGGGACAACAGACACAAGAGAAGAGCAAGTCGTTAGAAGCAGTCGAGAGAGAACAGTCGTTGCAGAGAGTCGTCGTGAATGGTCGTCAGTCGAAGAAGTTGTCAACGCCAACCGTCGTGAACATATTAATCATATTGAATTGAATTGAACTGAATTAATTGAACTATTGTTATAATTTGTATCATTTTTAAAAATATATTGTACTTAACATAACTTTACATATATTCTGTATAAAAGTTACAATACATTTTAGTAAAATATATTTTTTTTTAAATATGAATACGATGTGATTCAGTGCCTTCAAATTCTTTGAAATGCTCAGCCGCTGTGGTTATGGACAGCAGAATATTTATTGTAATGAGTGATAAGTACCCGATCTTTCATTCGAAATCATTTTTATGATTGCCATTAGCGATCCACAACTGATCCCAGACCATTTGATATGCCAGCAACATTCCCAATATTTAATTTGTTGCCAATATCTTTGGTTACAAATACATTCGCTATTCGAAGTTGATGATTTTCTTTGGCAGCAAATCGTACACGAGTCACTGTGCTTCGCATGAACTGGAAGCTGAATCTCTTGCCGGCAGCTTTTTTGCTGCTTATTTTTTGGCATGCGCGCGAAATTAAACAACCAAGAAGACGTTGGACAATGGACAGGCGACGGTCGACAGTCGACAGTCGACGGCGACGCATGCGCGCTACATGCGGCGCAGAGAGCACAGGTAAGGCAAGTTAAGGTAAGCGACAAGGCTTTTTCTTTTACCAAGAACGCGCAGCAAAGCATAAACATAACAAGAAAGGAATGCTAAAGTCGAGCAGGCTCAACTCTTAAATACCCTGTACCACCCCATAAAAAAGTAATTAAATTAATTAATTAATTTAATTAAATTAATTAACTAAATTAATTTAATTAATTAACTAAATATTAATTAATTAAATATAAAATATTCCATGCATGCATACATACATTTACATTTACATCAGAATCGTGCCTTATGCGTGTTTGTGTACTTGTACATATGTATGTATGTGTGCATTGGGCCTGGTTATATGGCTATAACTTTCTTTCCGATCATTCTATCATAATGAAACTTGGTATACGGATATATAATTACTAATCTAATGTAACTACCAAATTTTAGTTCAAAATTCCAAGAATTACGGGAGTTATAGAAAATCGGTAATAGGGGGGGAGTGGGGGGGTGGATCAGAAAAAATGAACAAACTCGTCCTTTCTCGGTCTCAGGAGAATCTGTATACCAAGTTTGGTTATTCTAGCTCTTATACTTTCGGAGATCCTTGCGTTCATACAGACAGACAGACAGACAGACAGACGGACAGACGGACAGACGGACAGACGGACAGACGGACATGGCTATATCGACTCGGCTTGTCATGCTGATCAAGAATATATATACTTTGTGGGGTCTACCAAGCCTCCTTCTGTGTGTTCCATGTGCACTCGCACAAAACTAATATACCCTTGTACCCTTTGGGTACAGGGTATAAAAATTAAATAACAAAAAACCAAGCTGGGCAGAAGCAGAAGCAGCACCAGCAGCAGCAGAAAACAAACAACAACAGCGGCAGCAACAACATGAGCGAAGTAGACGACAACAACGTCGTCGCTGGGCAGGAATTAGTTTCCGGTCGTAGTAAAAATGACAAAAACAAAATAAACACGGCAAAAAGCAAGAACGAGCCACTGGCAGAGGCTACAGCAAAAAGCAGCAAAGAGAGGCGCGAGCGTTCGAAAGGATGCGATGACGATGTTGAGGGCGGCAATGACGACGGAAGCGGCATTGATGACGACGGCGGCGGCTGATCGACCTCAGGCGGGTAGCATGGGCAGCACGCGAGCCAGTCGACCAACCAAAGAATCGACCAACCGGCCATTTCAGCAGCATTTTAACCCTTTATGGCCTAGTCCATGGAGAATATACATGTATCCATTGATAGATTAATTACCAACACTATGATATTTGATATTTTCGAAATATGTTTAGTATTTCAAACAACATGGAAGTGATTTCGTCTTGTTGCATAAAACCATGTACTATGTATGTATGAAGTTAGTTATTCTCTTATGGGTGTTACAAACTTACAGCCCAAAAACAATATACCCTTACACTTTTCAGTTAGAAGGTTGACAAACAAACGGAAATGGCTATATCGACTCAACTTTTGATGGCTGCTGAGTATTAGAGGCCATTTTTTAGTTTTTGAAATATTCGAAAAAACCTTAATTATGAAAATAGTGTATTGTGTGATATTATGGTATATTATTATTATTAATATTAACAAGAGAGAACGCTACAGTCGAGCAAGCCCGACAGTTTAATACCCTGTACCCAGGTAAACTTCCGTCACTGAGTTATATGCGCCCATAGCAGCAGCAAAAAGAGGAAGAAGAAGGCGAACTTGTTGCTGCAGTTTGTGGGGGTTGTACTGGCGAGAATTTGTTTTGGTAATAACTTTTAACTTTAACTTACAATTGACCGAATTGAATTGATGTTGAACAACAGTAGACAATTATATATAAATTATGTGTGCAAAGTTTGGTTTAGGTAGCATTTGAAATGTGGACGCTATTGACGAAATTCTGTAGCGGGGGAAGGGGGGGAAAATTAAAAAAAAATAAAATAAACTCGTCCTTTCTCGGACCTAGAACGGAGAATCTGGATGCCAACTTTGGTTATTCTAGCTTTTATAGTTTCTGAGATCCTTGCGTTCATCCAGACGGACAGACGGACGGACGGACGGACATGTCTAGATCGATTTCTCTCGTCATGCTGATTCAGAATATATATACTTTATGGGGTCGGAGATGCTTCCTTCTTCAATTTACATACTTTGCACAAAACTAATATACCCTTTTTACCCTACGGGTACAGGGTATAAAAAGTTGAAAGGAGCATGGATCAGATCTTCTTTACAATTCTAATTTCGCTATTTTTTGTTACATCTGCAACGTAAGATAGAAGTACTTGATTTTTAGAGTTTACTAAAACAGAATTTTCTTCAGATTACCAGTTCAACCACAATATAGTTTGGGAGCAGCATTTAGTTGCAGTTCATGTAATTGCCATTGGTGCATATAGTATACTATATCGAAAAGTATGACAAATACAGTCTGCAAATCTCTCATCTATATCTGTATCTAAGAAAGGCCATAAGTTTCAATCAATTTTGAATTAAAAAGTCTTTAGAAAAAGGTAAAGCAATGATGCAATTATGCTTGCGACTCTAGCATTCGGGTCGTTTAATATTTATATAGTAAAATCAATCAAATTTGGTTTATAGATCTTTGCTATTTCCAGATGTCGTAAATACATATGTATGTACATATGTATATGGCTTCAAGGTTGAATTTTCGAAATTACGAAAGGCTATCGATGTGCTCTGATTTAGAATACTACTAACATATGTAGGTATGTAAAAAACATATTCATATTGACTGCCAGATGTAATATTCATTGAAGAAGATATCGAGAATCCATCCACTTTGCTGTTTGTACAGTGCAGCAGGTGGGCTTCAATGGGTTAAAAAACAGCCACTGTGGCAACAACAACAACAACTAACTGCTAGCCATGGCAAGGCAAAACACCTTGCCAGTGCAAACCAGCGACCGGTGCAGCAGCAACTGCAACACGCACACAAGCATACAGACAGGCAGTCACATAGATACAAACACATACCAACAAGGGGCCGACGTGGATGTGGATGCTGTGCAGTCGACTACGCTGCCCGCAGCACACTCATTCATTCATTTATAGACGTGCCTACGTCACTGCCGATGCTAGCGTCTCTGTCGTAGCGTTTGGGTGTGTGCGTGTTCATTCAAGTTTGCTGCCTGCGCGCTCTCACAGATAAGCACACACTGCGCACACATGCACGCACACACACGCACACTCATGACTCTGCTGTTGCTGTTGTTGTCGTCGCCGTCGTAGTCGTTGCTGTTGCTGTCGCTGCCTGAAGTTTTGTTTCGTTCTGTTCGATCAGTTCCAAAAGTGAAGTTGTTCTGCACAGACGGCAACAGATCGACGGGCGAGCGAATCGGCGAGACAGACAGAAAAACAAAAACAAGAGACAACATCGACGCGTCGCGAGTTTTTTAAATTGTTGTACAAATTGTATTGTAATACAGCAAATAAATACACATACGATTAAACTAAATACATACATATGTATGTATAACAAATGAAAAGTTGAATTCGAGAGATCGATGATCAAGGTTATGCGATCGTTCGGTTTTGTTGTCGATTTCCTACAATAATTACGTGCGGCCCGCTTGTAAAATGCCGAAAACAATTCCGAGTCGGGCAGTAGTCGGCGGAACAAACCTGAGCTGTGAAAACATTTCGAATAAACAACAAAAATCAAAACAATAACAAACGCCAACAAATTAGCGCTAAAAATTATTTTGACGTGGGTGCGCGGTTTCACACACACACACACACACACATATACAGAGTATCTACGATTTCTATTGTTACTGTAATAGTTGTTGTCAGAGTAATTGGAGCATTGGTGCATAATAATAAATAAATAAATGATGAAAAATCAAACCACCAATTGATAAGCAAACGAACGAGACCCAACCAAGCACATTATAAATAGTTTCAAAAGAAACTGCAAAAATAAACTGCGAATAAAATCGACTACAATAATCAATAAATAGACAGCAGGCAGCGATTTTTATTCAGTCGGGCTTGGCCGCAAAAGTGTCAATTACAACAGTCACACACACATACACACACACACACACCTTTGCACACAGTAGATATTATATCTAAGCATGAAAACCAACAACTTTAGCAGCCCGGCGGCCTTTGCGCTGCTGCTGCTCAGCGAACTGCTGAGCGGTGTGCGGAGCACGCGCCTACCGCTCGAGGTTTACGAACTGACGCCAAAACAGGGCGCAACCGCAGCAGCAGCAACAGCGACGACGGCAGCGGCAGCGGCAGCAGCAGCAGCAGCAGCGGCGATGGCACTAAAGCACAAAAGCTTGGAGTATACCATTTATGATGCCAAAGAGTTGGCGGCAGGTGCACTGCCAACAACAACAGCAACAACAAAAGTATTGCCAATAACAACAACAACAACAGGCGCGCCTTCGTCGAAACCGACAGAGGAGCTAACCGTAGTTAGCATGTCCGCCGAAGAGGGCGCCGCGGAGGGACGTCGTTCGCGTCAAATGTTGCAGCAACATCAGCAACAGCAACATCGTTTTGGCGGCTACTATGCAGTGGGCGATAACAGAAACCTGAACAACAACAACAAGCATGTTGGGCATGTTGGCAAGGATTTGCGCATTCTCTACCAAGTGGGGGTGAGTACTAGAACTAGTCAATAACACCAACAACATCAACAACAACAATAACACCTACTACTACAACTACAATAACAAAACGTGATTTATGCGCCATTAATGAAGCACACGATTGCTAATTATAATTGTTGCTGTTGTTTCTGCTTTTGTTGCAAACACAACAACAACGCAAGGTGTTTGCATTTATTCGTGTATTTGTAGATGTGTGTGTTTGTAAATGACACGAGGTGCGACAGTGTGCTGCATGCTAACAACTTGCAGCTACACTGCGAAAAAATAAATCTCCTTCCTATGTTGTAGGGGTAATGAATTATTGTAGGCTATTAATCATTAAATACATACATCAAATTTATAAGAATTTTTATACTTATACTTATGTATGTTTAAGGCACAAATAAATTTCGTCGCGGAATTTGAAAACGGCATTGTAAACAATTTGTTCTTGATTTCTCGAAATTCCCTCATGATCCTAGTTAATTTCTTTAAAGTGTAGAAATGTATGAATATTGACGTAATGGAAGACACAAATGTTTCACCACTTAATTAATTTATATAATCAATCGATTATAATTTATACAAACAATTGATCGATATATGTATATTTAAAGAGCTTGGCAATTTGAAACATGAATTGCCATATCGATATGAGGCTGATTATGATACAACAATATGTTGAAGTTATCCAACATTTATTTTTACTGGTGCAACTATTTGCAGTCTTATTACACAAGCTTTTTTAATAAATGTACCATTCTGAAAAGCTGTGGATTTTGTTATCATTGAAATTGGTTGTTGATTGTTTTCAGTGTTCAGCAACAGCAACAACAACAGAAAAGCAATGTTGTTGCATAATGCAACAGCGGCAGCAGCCGCCGCCATATGTTGGCAACAGCCACGACACCTGCTCTCTCGCCCAGCTACATGACTGCTACAACAGCAACAACATTAACAAACTAATGACTATTTGTAACTGGCTTTAGAAGCCCACGCGCCTTGCGCCTGGGCAGGTTTTTGTTATTGCATTCCAGTTGATTTTAGAAGCTTGACTATTTTTAGTAAGCCACAAACCAGAGACGCAGACAGCGCCCTAAAGCACATCAACAGTAACCATTCAGAGAAAAATCTATATAAGCATATATTTGTGTATGTATGTAGGCATGCTTGTAAACTCAAGCTCACTCATATCCATTACACTTGACACCCACAAAAGGGGCAGAGCCGTAAGCATTGGAGATATGTATGTATGTTTACGAGTGGCGATCATTACGCTGCTTTTTGTTGCTGCTTGTGGCGTATATGGCGCATTTAATTGCAACAGCAACTGCAACAACAACACCAGGGATATTGCCGCTTTTGTTGTTGCTGCCGCTTTACGCTCGCATGAAAAATGAAAGTTGTTTGCAGCGTTGAGCGCGCAAAGTTTTCCATGCAAAGCTTATTGACGTTTCTCAGCATCAGCATCGGCATCAGCATCAACATCGCCATCACCATCAGAATCGTCGTCGTCACATTTGATCAATTAAAGTCGGCAGCAACAACAATTGATATACCTTATAAAACCAATTAGCGCAGCGGTCATAAGTTCAATGTTTAATGGCAGCAATGACGACTGACACAAAACTTTGCCATTTGGCAATATGCCACACAGCAGCATGTTGCATGTGGCATGGTTGCTCATGACTAAGTATTCCTCGTAAGCTGGGAAACTACGCTCAAAAGACAATTAGAGAGTGGGATTGTGATAAGATCGTTTTCATGAAAATTTCTAAAAACATTTCTTGAGTCATTGGAAACAATTTCCCTTCATATGAACTGAAACTAATTAGTTTCAACACATATATTTCCTATATATATGTATATATATATATATATAAAATTGTACAGAACTTATAATAATAAGTAAGACAAGCTCATGGATAGACAAAACTTTCCAACTGCAATTTTTCAACAAATTATTGAGTATAATGGGAATTATGACAAAATTTCTTTGTTCCCAAAAAACACTCGTATAAGCAAGCAAAACCTAGCTTATGATTGTCCGTGCTTTCTGTTTTAGTTTTTTTTTTTTTTTCAATTGATTTGATTTTGATTTTCTCTGAGAATTCTGAGCTTGGTGTGGAAGAAGCTGTCTCTTGATAAGGTGGGTGCCATTGTACCTTTCCTCACATGTCAAATAAAATCTGTAGATACATATTTATGGTTCAATGTGTAGATGTGCAAAGCCATTAAAAGGCGACATATATCATATATCTATTATATCCCATAATGTGAAACACAAAAATATCCGCTAGACTGTCGGTTGCTAAGAGGTTTTCGTAGTTTTGTTGCTGTTGTTGTTGTTATTGTTGAGGCGTGAAATATCAACAATAATCAAAAGGAAAGCATTGACGATATATAAAAAGTTAGACAAAACAACAAATACTCGTACGCATTGAAGTCGCGCTCGGGCTTAAGGAATGTGCCCATAAATTAAAAAACCAAATGTCTGCAATAAATTTCAACACATAAAAACAAGCAACAACAGCAACAACTATGGCAACAACAACACCTAAAATAGAAAAATATCAAAAAATGTTTTGTTTCGAACTCGCATAAAAGTGCCGTGCAAGATGAAGCGAGAGAGTGCGAGGGAGAGAGAGAGAGCAAGAGGGAGAGAAAGAGAGAAAATCTTCGAAGAAGAAAACAAAAAGTTCCCATGCTTAAAAGCGCTAAACATTCAGTTCCGGTATTTAAAAATGTTTTCAACACAACAACAACAAAAACTTGATGGCAATGGCTGACCAACTGACGGACTGAGTGACTGAAAGACTGACTGCTGGGTTGATGAAGTTGATGGGGTCCAAAAGCTGAATGAAAGAAAATTCATGAATGAAATACGACAGCGAGCGAGCGAGTAAGTGAATGAATGAATGAGTTAGTGAGTGAGTGAGTAAGGGACATGCAGACCATGAATGAATGAAAACGTAAAGCGCGATGTGCTCGATGAGCAGCAGCGACGTCAACGTCGACGCCAGCGTCAACGTCAACGTTACCGCCAACTTCGACGCGTTGACGCGCTTGGCTGGGCAAGTCAATCTATGAATGAATTGAATGGTAAAGCGGCAGAGCGTCCAAATGTGTAGAAATGGGTAGGGTAAGGCCAACCTAACTAGCATCAGCAACAAAAACAACAGCAACAACAACACCAACAACAAGACAGACAGACGGCAACGATTTGTTGGCCATATACAAACAGATCAGCTACGCATATTTGGCCTAAACATCTTGTCGCGTCTGTGTGCGCGTGGCATGGCCAAACTCAGAAAGCCAATACCTATGGACGAACACGATTACACGCGGGCGGCAGAGAGGGTCGAACAAGAAATTCCAATTTCAATTGACTGAAAAATGTATAAACAAATCAAGCGCGGCCATAATGTAAACATATCTGCATGTCACTACGTCTACTAGCCTATCTCTGTTGGGCCGTCACGCCACGTCCCGTTCCGGTCTGCCCTGGCCTGGCTGGCCTGGCCTCTTCGCTGAAGGCCCTGTGTCGACTTTGGGCCACGTTTCTTGATTGTTTGTGTAACTTGTAGCAAGACACGTGGGTGCCCCCATTGCTGCATTGAATTGAGCGTAGCCAGGTGTGAAAACTGATGTTTTTTATTTGGGCTTTTATGCTCGCACTCCACTCACACTCGAACAAATGTGGGCGCATGCCAACTATGCGTATGCGCAATGTGCGCTAAGTCAAAAGCTGTTCATTTTTCCCTTGTTTGTTCAATGGCTTACAATAAATATTTATATGAGCTTTGACTGGCGGGTACGCCCTTAAAAACAACAGCACCATAACTACAACAGCAACAACTGGAAATTATTACAAAAACATAAGCTGCTGGCATTCATCTTTATCTCTCTCTTTCCTTCTCCTTGTCTCTAGCTATCATGTGTTATTTTATGTTAATTAATACGTTGGCATTTATATTAAAACTGTCGGCATAAAATTGAAGAGGTTCATTATAACTAACTGCTTTTTCTATTCCATTGATTATTATAATTCTTTGTATTACTACTATTAGTTTTAATGTTGCTGACATTTGATGCGCTACCCATGGTCGCCAGCAGCTGAAGTTTAGTTTCGAGAGTTAAAGTGCAATCTTCTATATCAGTAACGTACATATGTAAAAACAGAGACTGTCAAGGTTTAGTCACATTCGACATGTAATTTAAAAGGAAATTGTACACTCATTACTGTTTCTGTTTTATTCGTGAATGAATTTCATCGATTGACAATGATAATTTATCGGCTAGGCAGCATAAAGAGTAAAGGCTGCTTGCTTTAAATGTGGCGCTGATAGTAAAGCTATAGGTCATAAATTAATACTTTTCGATAATATCGAGGAAAAAGCAAGCTATCAAAGCTTTCGCAGATTTAAGAGGTAATCTGATATCAATACATCTCAGCTATACCTCACAATGAATTATTTGCAAAAGCAGATGTAACTATGTAGATATTTTGAAAGATATGTAAATATTGTTTGATAGTTTGATATGCTAGTACGGAATTTGCTTACAATTTAATACATCTTTGATGCTAAAAAGGAAATCCTGCATATGACAAACATTTCTTGTAGTGCATGAAAACTATCAACCATTTCTTAATTTCTCAAAGGTTCTATAACTGCAAAATTGCTTCTAAATTTAGAAATTATTCAATGTGATCGAAGGTAAAAATATACAGGAATAACAACAGCATAACAAAACACGTTAGAAAAGACGGCGAACGAGAAGAGAGTTGAACACAAAAATCGGTTAAGTATGTCTAGATATGTCTAGATTGGCAAAGATACTATCTGGAGCTTTAGTGTTCAACGGCAACAACAACTAAAGCAAAGCTTAAATTTACTTCAAAATCGAGAAAAAAAATCAAGTCTAAATTCAGCTCATTGAGAAAAAAGCCTCCATACTGCAGCAACAACCTGAGCCAACGGATGCTCGTACCAAAAAAAAACTAGTTT